TTGGCAAGGCTTGGGGTAAGGCCGCCACTGTATCCAATGGTGTTTCAGCGTTGAAGTGCTGCGGTATCTATCCATTTGATCCCCATGCTGTTGCAGACTATCATTTCTCATTATCAGATTCGCTACAAGAGCAAAATTTAGTTGACATTGACGAAGTCAACAATCAAAGTACAAGAAGTACTGATGAGAGTCTTACAGGAAATACTGCACCAGCAACTGAGATTCTGTCACAGCCAGGAACGTCAGGTCTCCACAGCACTCCAGTCTCCCTACATGATGACGAATCTGTGAATACGCCGCAAAAGCACCCACAAAATGATGCATCCCAACAAGTAGGCATTTGTGATAAAACGCCTGAAGAAGCCATTCCATCTTTTGATGTAAAAGACAAAGAAACGCCTTCCAAAGTTCTAAGTGAAATACATCCAGTGCCCAAACTACCAAAAAATCTGTCCAAAAGGAAACAAACAGCAGTCATTCTCACTTCGCCGGAAAATATTGAGAAAAGAACATTACTGGCAAATAAAAGAAAGATTAAAGCTGAAGCTGAGAGTAATAAACTCAAGAAGGCTAAAACAAAAGTGACTAATACGAAGAAAAGGGATGACCTTAGTAGAGTAAAAGGTAAAAAGGTGTTAAAGAAGAAGCCAAAGAAGAATGCGTGGGATTCATCGTCTTCAGATAGCAATGATGAAAATATGGAGACGTTTGAGGAGTCGGAAGAAGAGCTATCTGACGAGGATCCAAACAGATGTGCCGAATGTACTGAAAACTATTACCAAACACAATCTACAGAGGATTGGATCCAATGTCCCACTTGTTCAGCATGGCTGCATGAATTTTGTACAATGTATGCTCCTATGTGTAATCGTTGTGGATGAAAAGCTAAAAGGGCAACTATCCAGAAATGAGTTCCATTCATGCGTATAAACATTATATACCTATGTATTATATTTCAAAGATTCATTTTATCACTTCATCAAACACTAGTAGTGTCGAATTATCATTTCATTTTTGTTTGTACAAAAGTAATATTCTAGTTTTATTTCATCAGAAGTGCTGTATCTTACTCTGATATTCATTAAAGTTATTTGAATGTTCATTTTTTCAATTATTGCTTATATCTTCAAATTAATATAATATTGAAGGTAGTGGGGCATTTTGCAACTCGTGCGAGGCGTATTACCTGAGGGTCAGTTGACAAAACGCCCCACTCAAGGTTCTGGAAAATATGCAATCAATATTTGTCTAAACGATTTAGATCAATGTAACATCTGTCTTTACGTTGTAAAAGAGCCAAGCTATGCCCCTGATTAAGATCTTGCCGATATCTTCAAATGTTTTCTTTCAATAGGCCCTTGAAAAAAAGTGGGGCGTATTACCTACTCTTCCCCTATGACTTTTTATTTATTATGTTTACATTGCATTGCTAGTCGCCAAAATTGCGTAATTTAAGTGAATACTTTTGACTCATTGCGAAAGTGACAGCGTTGCATGCATCATTATACGTATAATAATACTTACCGGTGGAAACATCTACCTTCCATAGGCTTGTGCTGCACTTTGCAAATTATATAAGAAGTACCATGACTTGAAATAGTCTAATACCACAATTATCTACAAACACTCGCACTTTTAAAAATAACACTAAAAATATGAATTTAATGACCGAACTGTCAAAAAATTAATACAAATATTTGACTGGCCCCTTCTACTTAGTCTCAATTCGTGGTTCAGTTAATTTAATACTAATAATAAACTTTATGAGAATTTCCTGACACAACTTTTGAATTTACTGAGATTAGCAGACTTGGGAAATGTTTCTCCTGATAGACTGGTCCACAATATCGATTTTATCTTAAACGCTAAGTGAATGAGCAAAATTGCTACTTGTAGGGATCGGATAACCCATACGTAGTCGATGAGAAACCAATACATCCACAAAGGGTGAGTGGTACGATTTTCGGTCCTGCGACATCATGGACAAGGAGCTTCCGTTCCAATCAATGGAAAATTTTTATTTCCAAAAGTTGACGAGATTGGCGTGATTTTAACAGGACGGTACAACCTACATCACAGACAACGTAACAATAACTTTTGTGGGCCGGTTTCGAAAAGTGAATAATAAGCCTAAATTCTTATGTTAATTGACCGCTCCGGATTTCTGATTTAACCCAGATGTGTCCTATGTGTCCTATTATCTACAGTTAATACAATTTAATAAAATTTACAATTCAAATAACCCTTTATTAGACTTGATACTTAGTAACGAATGTTCAATATATAATATTTCGAATTCGGTTGACATATTGGTTCCTGAGGATAATCACCATCCTGCAATTACATTTTGTTTTAAGCATGTTTTACTTAAGCCATTAATGCACCAGAGCCAATGCCTTTACAACTTTAATAAAGCTGACTATACTTCCATAAATAATACTCTTTTAGACATAGAATGGGAAAAATTATTTAGTACCAAATCTGTAGATGAAGCTGTAGCCATATTCTATAACATACTCAATGAAACTATTCACAAATTTACACCAACATATAAAATTCGAGGAAAATACCCAATATACTTTAAACTTGAAACAATACAAACAGTTAAGAGAAAAAATAAGTATCATAGACTATACAAACGTTTTAATGATCCATACTCATATCAGATATTCTGTGACCTTAGAGCCAAATCAAAAATCTTAATTAAGGAAAACCTGAATGAATACATAACAATGATGGAAAACAATATATTGAACGACAGCCGATACTTTTGGAAATACGTTTCAAGTAAGAAAAAATGTCATGTCTCTATACCTAGTTCTATAAATCATTCAAACTATGAAGTTAAAACCGGAAGTGGGGTGTGTAATGCCTTTGCTGACTTCTTTGCAAGTGTATATGTTAAATCTAAACATTTTTATTTAAACAAGGATGCTAGACCTATTGATGTTACCTTAATATCCATTGAAAAAATATATCAACAAATAGTGTCCTTAGAAATTAAAAAATCAGTAGGCCCTGACGGCATACCTTCTGTATTTATAAAAAACTGTTCCGCTAGCTTGTTTACCACTTCACCTAATTTTCAAACTATCATTAACTCAAAGAGTCTTTCCAACGAGATGGAAAGAAGGTGAAATATTGCCTATTCATAAAGGAGGCGATAGACATCTTGTGGAAAATTATCGACCTATCACTAATCTTTGTATTTTCTCAAAAATTTTTGAAAAGCTGATGTATGATCCTATCTTAAACATTACAAAAAATATCATTACGGAACACCAGCATGGATTTTTCCCTAAAAGATCTGTAGAGACGAATTTGATGAGTTTTATAGAATATGCCTCTCACGCAATAGATGAGAAACTGCAGGTGGATGTTATTTATACCGACTTCAGTAAGGCTTTCGACAAGATTGATCATTCTATCTTGATGGAGAGACTTGCTGAGGTGGGTGTAGATGGTCCATTATGGCAGTGGCTAGCATCGTATATAAGTAATCGTAAACAAGTGGTGACTATCAATGGGTATCGTTCGGAGACATTCTTATTAACTTCAGGCGTACCACAAGGTAGTCACTTAGGACCATTGTTATTTAACATATACATGAACAACCTTACTTCTGTTTTTCATTTCAGTAAATATTTGTTATATGCTGATGATCTAAAGATATTTACTATTGTTAGAAATGTAAATGACGGTGTAAAACTTCAAAGCGATTTGGAATCTCTGCAAAAGTATTGCACTGAAAACAGTATCCTCCTGAATTTAACAAAATGTCATTACATGAGGCTTACTAGAAACATAGCGAACACTATAGATTTCAGATATAAGATAGGGACGGCAGAACTGGAAAAGCTTCATGTAGTAAAAGACCTAGGGGTATACATTGATGAGAAACTCTCATTCATCACCCACGTAGAGCACATTGTAAATGATGCAAATAGAACACTAGGGTTCATAAACAGGACATGCAGAGAATTTACGAACCCAAAAACGCTCCTTTCATTGTACTACGCTTATATACACAACAAACTGATGTTTGCATCAGTAATATGGAATCCGTCTTACAATGTACATATAGTCAGGATAGAAAGAATTCAACACAAATTTTAGAAGATGTTAGCAGATAAAACTCACCAACCTGTTACAGATCATCATTATACGCAAATTATGAAACAGTTCAATATGATTTCCTTAAAAGATAGAAGAACGATTTCTGACATTTGCTGTGTCCATAAATTGTTGAATGGCCTCACTGACTGTCCGGATCTTTTGGCAAACTTGAACTTTAACACTCCTGATAGAACGTTTAGAACCTATCATCTGTTTAGAATACCGTTCCGTAGAACCAATCTTGGTCTTAATTCCCCTTTGTTCAGGGCTCAAAAAAATCATAATAATTTCTGTAATATAGATTTATTTAACATTAGCTTGACCTCCCTGAAAAAGGCTTTAAAGTATGAGTATTACAGCTCTATGGCAGACTAAAATAGAAATGTTTTATTTTTTTACATAACTCAAGTTATCACCTCCAATATCATTTCTGGTATAATTTCAATTTAATTTTGATTTCAGTTTTAATTAAATGTAAGTAAATGTTAAATTATGTATACTCCTTTTATTAAAAAAGGTAAATTAATAGTTTATTGCTTATAATTAGAACTACTCACTCAGTTTATGTTGTTACAACAATATCGGAGGATAAAAAAATATTAATATTGAAGTATTCAATAATGTAATATATGTATATGTATACGATATTTTATGTAAGTTTAGTTTTAGTTCACTGAGGGTGTGTGTTGGGTTTACCTGTTAACACCCCAAACTGTATATAAATAAATAAATAAAAAAATGGCCTATATGTAGTACATCTCAAACTTGTCAATTCTTGTCAAAAGGCGTCTGTAAAAATGTATTAGTTCATTCGTTTCGTTTAGTATAACGTTGTTCGGCTTAGGGTACGGTGGTTAGTTATTGTTTTCTGACGGACTATTAGTGTACTTTGAAGTCCAAGTACTACATTTCGACGAAATGGCTGAATGCGGCATCAGATTTGCAAGGTACGCTGTATTTTGATAATTTACAGTGAAGTGGATTCAATATAATGGAGTAAATTCCTATATATAAAGTCGACAGAGGGAATATATGCTTGAGGCAATGAATAATATTGCCTAGCTTTTCGACAGTTTAGGAAAAAATCTATCTTTCGTACATAAAGTACATTGGGCAAAAATACTACTGCTACTTTTTCTAAATTACCCTCCGTTTTTAGTGGTATATGCATCTATAAAATAATTGTTTATAAATATATTTGTTACAGAGGGTTTTCATTATATGAAGCCCTGCCTATGATCGGATATAACAAAGTGCAAGCCGATACCATCACACTGTTTTCACCTAACAATGCATCCGAAAATCTGGCAGATGAAAATTCGGCGAAGAAGACAATGTATATATAAATAACTTGCCCCCGTCTCAACTGCAGAGTAAATGATAAATGTGATACGGACTCAGAAGACGATATACCCTTGAGTCAATTGACAGAAGCAATCAAATGAACATGCAAGCAGGCAAATAAGGAGAAACGTTATAATTATGTGAAAAAGCATTTAGAATGTTAGTGCTGCTTTTGACAATCCTTATCATGTTATTTGGTTGGTTTTCGGGTAGCTTTAGGCCGTCGTAAAATATTTGTACTTGACGTTTCGCCAACACGAGTGGTTGACATCTTCTCCAGGTAGAGCAGCCACATGTGGTCCAATTATATAATAGGAATATGGGAGGGGTTGATCGTTCTGACCAAAATATAACCCTCTATCGTACCGCCATAAGAGGAAAAAAGTGGTATTTTCCTCTTATAACTCACTGCATAGATATGACAGTGCAGAATTCCTGGCAAATTTATAGAAAGTGAGGCGAAACAATGGACCACTTAACTTTTAGAAGGTAGGTACTACCACAAGAAAAGCAAACAAAATGTGCAGCTTGTCATCAGAAAACACGACTCGCTATCAAAAATGTGACAAAGGGTTGCATGTTAAGTGTTTCTGATGTATCATACTAAACCCAAATGATTTTAATGCCAAGTGTCCTATATGTAGGACGCCTTCAAAAACAAAAAAATCAGTTTCAGATGTTTTAGTTGGGTTTTTGTATACTATTAATGTCCCTTAAATGCAAAACTATGAAGAAGTCAGAGTCACGATAACTTTAGGCATATCTGGGTTAAATCTGTTGGTCTATTTCATGTGGAAACCTGTTAAGGACAAATGCTATGCTAATCATACAGAGACAATTGAGACCTTGAAATACGATATCGAAATTTCCATTCAAGAAGTTCAAGTTCAAGAATCGATAACGCACTTGGAAATTGGGATAAAATAATAAATGTATTGTCAGGGCAGCCGTGGCAGTTATCTGAATGATATTCTGTTTCAATCTCCATTGTCAAGTTTGAATTTTTTAAACAAAACCAGTAGTTTGAAAAATTGCCTTTTATTTTATCAGCTTTTTTAATAGCCGATGCAATATCCAATTTTCAAATGGCTCACCCTATAAGAGCAATAGTCACCGTTAATGATGTATGAATTATAAATTCCATTTGGTGGCGAAACATTGCCTTGATGTTAATCGGATATTTTAAATTATTGAAATTAATATGTTGAAAGAGTTGCATTGGATCGTTAGCAAGAACAGAAATGCCGCTGATTCAAGATAGAAGGGATACTATGTATGGAAGATGCTTTGAGAAAAATATTCCAGTAAATTATTGATCAGAATTGTTGTAAGCTTCCATACAAATTTGACATCTGCTGAATAGATAAAAAACGTCAAAGTACCTGTTTTTCATCACAGTCTAGAGTCAATAAAAGGCTAGTGCAAATAAATTCTCTGACATGGAGTTCTGCTTCTGTGCCTGGGGAGCTGTCTCTACACTAACCTGATGAAGTATAGATAAAACCTGAGATCACTCACAGATGTTGTTGACATTTTTTTAATTCCTACGCCACTGCACTGACGAGAAATTATTGTAATTGTCGTCTGACTGTCTGCCCGCTAATCCTTGATCCCGCTATAACTTGGAAAGTACCGATCGGATTTTGATTAAATTTTCATACAAAGTTACTAATCTCTCAAGTACCAAACACCTTTATTGTTTTTGGAAATCAATCCCGTTTTTGACGTTTCAGAGGATCCTGATCATTTTAAAAAACATTTTTAGGGGTTCAAAAGTAGGGGGTAGGGGAGAGTATGTCTCATTTTTGACGTTGGTATACGCCTTCAGCTGCTGTAATTCTACGCGCCTATTAGACGTATTTCACTCATCTCTCTCCCCTTGACGAATCGACGTGGACTGTCTATCCACATATCCTCAGGGGAAGGGGCAGAACTATCCATCGGCAAAAGATAACTTTTTGTGAAAGCGCACCTGTCTCCAAAACTTCTTGAAGGGCCAGTGGTAGCATATTTTCTAAAGGAGCCAAAACTCAAAGTTTCCCAAAATTGCACAGGAAAATATGGTAAATTTGTGTGAGCCTTTTTGACTAACTTTATCCATTTAATTTATTTGTTATGTATGTTGGTAGCTATAACTTTTTTCTCAGAGAGTCCAACATGTGCCGAACATAATCATTTATGAACTGATAACAGCGTTGCGTAGGAGGTGCAGAGTTAGCCTACTTGACGTCATTTGTATACGAACGGACGGTATACAAATAACTGCTTTATTATTATTTTCGTCAAATATACAAGCCTAGAGTAACTTACACGTATGTGCTAATGCTTTATGTTTAGAAGTGACAGACAGCTGCCGGTCAAGGTTACCTACATCCTGATTTAGGAGCTCTAAATAAAAAAAAACTAATGCGTATCTCATGTAGACATATATTTATTACATCCACTTGAGGTCAATATACGATCTACTGTTAAACACAAATTAAGCAGAACAGATGAAGTTTCTTGGATCAAGGTTAATTTGCTGGCAATGTTGTTGCAATAAACAGAAGATCTAGTAGATATTATTTCTAAATCTAAACTAAGAAAATAATAACTGGATATATAGAATATTTATGTTATTGACAACCACCGATTTCTTTACAAGATTAAAATAAGATGAAATATGATTATTTTAATATGTATTTTCAGCTTACCCAGTTGAGTGAATAAATATTGACAAATTTTTGTATATCATAGCAACATCTATTTAGAAGGTTGAGTCAAACTAAATGTGATAGCATACCTTCAGTTGTACGAGTACTCTAAGGCAAGAGGATACCTGTATTATAGCAGAAAGTTACATTATTAATTTTCAATATTTTTTCAAAGTATGTGAGAAGAAAATACATAAATGTCAACATTTTTTGTGTCATTAAAAGTTCACAAATACATATGTACCAGTTCCTTCAGTTTTGACACGTTTTTTGAAATGTAAAGGTTCTTCACGTATGCTAGTTGAATGTTGTACATACTTCCAATAAATAAAGCAAATGCGTGGCCCATCCATGTGTAGACGGAATATTACTCATAAACAAATACATTTTGAGAAAATCTATTTATGGGATATTATACATGACATTTGAGGGCACATTTCTAAAATATTTGCCATTATACAGGGTGTCCGAATTTCGACCTACACATCAAAGTTGTGATTTTTTAAATGGAATGACTCAAATTTTATTGCATATTTGGATAAACCAACTCAAAAGAAGAAAACTGATGTAACATACTATGGGGTTTTGGTAATTAGCTACTGAGATATAAGGTGTTTTGTCTAGAAAAACCCCCCACTTCAGCAACCCCTCAGTCCGCCATTTTGAAATCTGAAGTGCTGAATTTTGTATAAAAAAAACTAACACACCTCAGCTTTTATTTTCTTTATTACTTTTTTGAATTTCAATTTTTGCTCATACAGGGTGGTCAAAAACGCAAATTGTAGTTTTTCTCAAAAATTTCAAACGCATCACCCTGTATATTTATGCAAATTTGCATTCAATTTTTTAAAAGCTTTTTTTTGATACTAGAAACATAAGGGCTTTTACGGCTATTTTTTCGGTTATTAGCACGTCTTTTATGGAACGGCTTAATTCCCTAAAATATTGCACCATCCTTGGAAACAAATAAATTGTTGATTAGTTACTAATATTAATAAAATAATAAAAACTTGAATAAATTTTTCTAAAGAAGAAATGGTGAATACGGTGTTCGTTAGTTTCCTAGCATCTCGCATTTATAAGCAACGGTACCCTAATATGCGACATCCAAGGCAGAAACATTTTCCACACTACGAGAACGTTTTGAATCTAGTGGAGCAGTAGAATATAGTAAAAAATCTATATATAATCCAAGTGTCACCAATGAGGCGAATCAGTTGGAGGTTCTATTAAAGTTGCAGGAAAATCCCCATTTAAGTGCACGGCAAATTGGAACAGAAACTGATATATGCAGAACTTCTGACCAAAGGATTATTCACAAGCATAGGTACCATTCATATTACCTATGCTTGCATCAAGGCATTCGTCCTCAGGATTTCGCAGCTCGAATGGAGTTCACTTGAATAATGCTAAATAAAGTGAGTGAAGACACTACTTTCCTGGATAAGGTTCTTTTTAGCGATGAGACAACTTTTAACAGCATAGGTGTTGTCAATAGGCATAACATGCACTATTATGCGATGGAAAACCCTTACTGGGTTAGGAAAATAGATTTCCAAAATAAATGTAGCTTGAATGTTTGGGGAGGAGTTATTGGCAGACAAGTTATCGGGCCTTTCTTTTTCGACAACAGATTAACAGGTACAGAACACTTGAATTTTTTGATCGAGCATTTGCCTTTGCTTTTGGAGGATGTCAACCTTCAAACTCGGATGCATATGTACTTCCAGCATGGCGGCGCACTTGCGCATTATCATAATCGTGTGCGTGACTATTTGGACACCTGGAGTAACAGTCGTTGGATCGGTCGTACGGGCCTATATCTCGGCCTCCTAGATCACCAGATATGACACCGATGGACTTCTTTCAATGGGCTACGTTAAGCGAGAGGTTCATAGATATCCACCATCTACTCCGGAAAATATGAAGGAAAGGATTAAGGATGCTTTCTGAAACATAAGGGAACACATGCTGAGGGATGTGCAATGGTCATTTATCCAAAGACTGCAGCTGTGTATTCAACATGGTGGAGATATTTTCGAGCAGTTTTTGTAGATTAGGTCTTGAGTAGTGATAGTTGTTTGTTCATGTTGTTGTTATAGTTGTTTTTCTCTATTACGCTTGAAGCTGATTTATACTGTTCTGATTGTTACTAGTTTTTACGTCAAATCTGTACTTTTAGTGACAATATGGAACTAGCCCATTGCTTGTCTTTTGTTTCAATGGATGATGTGATTTTTTTCCTTAATTTTGGTGTGCTGTTCTATTAAAAGCTTATTAACTCAAAATCTAGTGATTTTATCTGAATCAAACTCATATCAAAAAAAAAAAATTAATCCAAACTTGCACAAATATACAGGGTGATGCATTTGAAATTTTTCAGAAAAAGTACAA